ACCCGAGTTCGACTGAAACAGTTGGATCTGTGCATGTTCCGATCTCGCGTAATTGTACACGGGAATACAGAAGTGAAGCTCAAGCAGAGCAAGCATTGTAACAAGTTTCTCAAGGAAGCAAGCGAATCTGAATTGAAAAGAATTATGGATATGGGTGGGCGTGGGAGTATAGTCTTTTTCACGGGGAGTGGACTTGTGACTGTGATGAAGAAATGCGCGGCTACACGTAATGAGGTGACTATGTTGGACCATTTGTATAGTGATGAGTTTCACGGGTGGAAGTAGTTTAATACCTACATGTTAGTTCCAAAGAAGTACTTTATTGAGATCTGCAATAAACAAACAGGTTGAAACTGTTGAGGAATGTCCACTTTATTATAAATTGGTAATTTTGCAAACAGCTGTAAGTAAAGGCGGAATTGTAGAATTGATTGTCTTTAGAAGAAACCAATGGCCACCCTCACACCATCGTCTCTCGCGGCCCTCCAACGCCACCTCCTCCGACAGTCGCCGTCTTCCGCGCCGCCCCTTCTTGAGCGTTTTCTCTCTGACAGCCGCCGAGCCGAACCCGTCGAACTAATTGAAGTCGACCAATCGATCTTGACAACAACAACAGCCACAACCACAACCACAACAACACCAAAGCCGCGCAAAGTCGCTCTGATGAAGACAAAGACAGCCACGAACTCGGACACTCGCAAACCAACGTCGAAAACAAAGAACAAGAACAAACAAACAACAGACTCGCCAACTCCAATTTCACCTTCCTCGCGCATCTCGCCCCTCCTTCAAAAACAACACAAAACACAAACACAATCACAAACACCGTTGAAACGAATGCGTGTCGTGTCAGAGGACAACACGTCAGAGTCAGAGCCAGAACCAATACGAAACCCACAAAAGGCACAGATCAACAAAACCCATCAATCAGTCATCGACTCGTTCTTTGCTGCTGATCCTTCATTGTCTTTATCTCGTCATCGCGACTCAGAGATCTCTTCTCGCCCTTTGAAACCAGTCCGCACTCGTCTCGAAATCAATATACCCATCTCAGAGACGAGACAACCAGTTTCAAAGAAAGTATCAGCAAAACCAATCCCAAAGTCAACAAAGAAGGTGAAACTCAACAACGAATCTCCACCTCCTGTTCCAGGACTTGTTAAGGACGCGGCAAACCGTGCAATGATGGTACTTGCCTTTACTCTATTCCTCACTACTACTCACACTTCACTTTCAATGTAGTCCTTTAAATCGAATTTCATTGCGGCTCCTCGTCTCACAATCAAGCCACGAACAAATACATCACAGAAACCTCGAGGCCTGTTTCAGAATGGAAAGTCATCTGTTCCTGTTTCTACTGCTCCTCTTGTATCCACCTCAAGAGTATTGAATGAGAGTCAGAATGAGCGGATATCAACGAAAGTTAAGAATTCTGTTGGGAATGCGTATCCACATCGACGAATGAAGATGGTCTCCCAAGATGATCAAGGCGATGTCGAGAATGGTGATGGGAACTTATACCATGATAGTGGCGAAGAGGATCAAGTTGAAAATGATGAGAATCTGTTTGGCAGCAAAGGCGAAGATGAAAATAATTGGATTCTGGAAGACGATGATGATGATGGCCAATACCTTCAAGAAAGTCAAGAAAATGATACCAACGAGCGGATGGAGAATTTGAACAACGAAAACAACGACGGAGAAGGAATTTACGATGAAAGTGGGACTTTGGTGACCGATTATCAAGAACAAAGTTGGATCGAGGAACAAGATGAGAACGAGTTTGCAAGTGAATCCCCTCCACCGCGACATGCTCTTAAAAAGAGATCCCAGAACGAAATCAACAATACTCAAGAGTCTCTTGATATCCGATTACGCGAGTTTTTTTATGGCGACTCTGCATTCATACATTCGGAAACGTCGATTGATTCTGGGAATCAGCAACATCACCCTTCCGTTTCAGAAAGTCAACAAGCATCTCAATCAGTTTACGATTACTCAGAAAACGCGTATGATGTCGGTCACTTTGATCCGAGGAAGTGGAGGTACGATGCAGTGCTCAACTCGCAGTCACAAAGAAACAACGAGGATGAGAGCAGTCAATTCGATATCAATCAAGAAAATTCGTCGATTCAGGAGGATGAAAACAGTTATTCGGTGAAAAGGTAGCCTCCTGTCAGTTGTTTTGTCAAAACTCACTCAACTTCTTTCAGCCACCACCAACCACTCGTCAAATCACGATTCTTTGCATAACTTTGTTTCATTGAAATTCCGCAGAATAATAAAATGTGCAGCTAATTTGCATCAGACTCAAAGAATATCAGCTTCAACGTATCCCTTCTCTTCGCTTTCACCGTCCACAAGAGCGTGAACACCTTCATCCTCCTCCACATAATCCACATCCTTGATAGTCTTGAGCCAATGACTCAAAGACGCGGGGAGCTCTGTGAGATCGACAAGGTGAATCAGCCTTACGCAAAGATTGTAACAACTGCAGCGACATACCAATAGTCACAGCAGGAATAAGGGTGAATGCATGCACAATGTTTCCACCCCATGGTGCAATCTGCGATTTGACGGATTCAATGGTGGGTGGTGACTTGAAGACGACAATGAATCGTTTGAGTGCTGTGTCACAATGGGAGGGAGGATGAAGTTATAGGATAGAAGTAGCGGCGATGGTCACTTACAAGCTTCGACACAACAGGCAGACAGAAGAGCCACGAGTGCAACGATGAGGCTTTTGGGGTGCATTCTTTTCTGAAGAGATATTCACACATGTTTCTTCTCTCTCGTCAATCAATCAATCAATACGCTTCTGATATTTATTTACACACAGCCGTCAAAAAGAACAGTTAATGCCCTAGCTCAACAAAGACAAGATCCTCTGCTTTCCGAACCAACCGACCCAACACTGCAGCACGTCTCCTAGGACTCGCGCCACCAGTTTCATGACTGTTCACATACTCTGCCGCTCCATACACTGTTTCAGCATCACTAACATCGTCTCTCCAGTCTTCCTCTATAACAGAAAAGTCAGGTTGTGTGAATGTCGTGTCCAAGAATAGACGAGGATCAAGTTGGTTTGACGCGACATCTTTCGATGAAGTGTTCCTCTGCGTCACAGGTACATCCAGTTCGGACAAGTCAGAGTTGAAGTCTATCTTTGACAGAGAGTCCGTGTCGGTCCACCCACTCTCCTCCATCTCAAAAACGCGCGCACCACTGGTATAAACTGAATCCGCCAAGCACGTAGCACGTTGCTCCTCCACTGAGTCTGACGCGTCATACCCAACCCGAACTTCGTCATCCACCGAATCTTCAAACCGTTCACTCTCCTCCAGAATCCACAAGTGATTCCACCGAGTCCTCGCACCACGACCGTCAAACACCGAATCAAGCTCTACATGTTCATCGTCAATGTCGATATCGTCGACTGCTGTCAGGGTGCATTCGGACATGACGCGGGAGAGGCCGGAAGAGTGTGGGCGGAAGAAAGCGAGTGGCGTTGAGGGAGTTGGTGTTGTTGCCGCTGAGAAGTAGGACGAAGAAGAGGAAGAGGCGATGGAGAAGTCGTCGTGGATTGTTGAGGAGGACGAGCTGTTGTCGCGTGTGTGGCTGGTGACGAGGTGGTGGTGGTTCAAGTTGTGGTTTAGGGTTAGGGTTGGTTGGTGTGTTTGGAGGTGCGAGGCGAGTTGGTTTGAAGTTGGTGGTGGTGGTGGTTGGTTGAGTGGTGAGGGCGAGGCTGGAAGGGGCGCCATTGTTTTGGGTTAAGACGTGGTTTGTGTTTAGGTGGCTGTTTTGGTGATTGGGACAGTGCCGCATCACTTTCCTCGCACACTGTGAGCAATTCCATTGAACGTACTTGAAATTCAGAATAAAAGAAGGAAGAGGAGTTAATTGGATTGATTTGTAAGATGTATTTGTCTTGATTTGTAATGCCACACAAATCAAATACCCAGGATACAATACGTTTATTAGATATGTTGTGGTTCTATTTACAATTGCAGTACTTGAAACAAGATGCGTCTATAGGTCTATATAAGTGAATGTGGAATGCAAAAGTGCGGCATTGATCTGGCAGGACCCTCTCAGGCCACAAGCCCATCACAACACACCAAACAACATCGCCATACCAGCTTGTATGCAACTACAAACAGTAACGTCGATAAGTGTGCTGTGCGAGCAAGTGCGCGGGCCGAGTTGAAACTCTAGCGACCTGAAACCGTCTGTCGCAGCCACCGTTCGATCCCTCCTCCTCCTTTGCCGCCGCCAACAACAACCCGCCAGCAGCCAAGCCAAGCCAAGTCACATGTTCTGCGGCCGCGGACCCCGACTCCGACCCGCCCTGTTCAAATGCGCAGACGCGGCAGTCGCCATCAGAAGTTCTGAGTTTGCCACGTCAAGTGCGCCGAGCCCGCCCAGCGTCTTCAGTTCAGTTGCGTCCAGTGCCGCGACATGTGCCGAGAACGATGCGGCTGCGGCGTTGGATGTCGCCGTTGCGATCAAGGTGCGTTCGCGTTCGGCTTCACTTGGCGACGGCGATCCAGACGGCGATGTGGGCACGTGTTGGTCCAGTGGTGAGTTCATTGTTTGTCGTCCTTTCAAGTTGGACAGGGTCTTGGTTTGGTTGAGGCGGTGCTGTGGTTTTCTGACCGCTTTTTTTTCTGGTGGTGTTCGGCGGGCTGCCTCAACGTCGAACTTGACTCTTATTGCTCAGCCTCCACAACAATCCCATGCACAATCCACTCTTCAAACGAAACCTTCCAATCCATAGAGAACCCATGATGGCGGACTAATTGCATACCCTTATCTTGATCTCCAAGCCTGCTTTTCAATCTAATCACTGCAGATAGCCCCAACAATCAATCCATGAAGAATCTTTATCATTTGCATCCAGACACGAAAACGGTAATCTTACTTTTGACAGGAAAACAATTCTTTTATATTGTTGGAAATTTCCATTAGGTCCCTAATCTCAGGATCTTTATCACTGATCGTGTTTCTTAGTGTAGTGGTTATCACGTTCCCTTCACACGGGAGAGGTCGCGAGTTCGATCCTCGCAGAAACCATTTTACTTCGAAAACCTTTTTTTTTCTCCACAACCTTCTCTAACAATACTGTTGCCATCGATTTCTTTATCGGCTGCCCATTGCATACGTTCTAAATTCCGCTTTACCAATTCGGAACCTTATCCGTAATTTCCTTCACTTGATGTTAAGTGTACTTCCCTAGAACAGTTTGTCAAGGTCGAACGCCAGGCATACCTCGTATAACGGTTAGTACAGCTCGTTGTGGCCGAGCAAATCCAGGTTCGATTCCTGGGGTGTGCAGCTTTTGTGTACGCAAGTGGATCGTCAAAGCTAGTCAAAGCAGTAACGAAAGTGGCAGCTATGTATGTGTATGTGAGTTTCAGTCTTGCAAATAGTAGACAAAAGTACGACGGTTCGATAATTATGCAAAGGAGGCGATTCTTTTTTAATTTCATTGTCTGGAACCATGAATTCCTCATCCTCTGGTCACGCGTACTATACTTCTGCAGTGGCAATAAGCGCGATATCCTCGATTATTCCACTGTTTTCACTGATACTAGTGCTCTCCAGCTATTGGGCACGAGGGAAACTCGGTGACTGGATGACTCGATCCACAATCTTAATAGTGCTTGGAAGCCTCAGTATCGCAGGATATGGTGCAACAAGCGCGTACAATTTCCATCAAATTGATATTGACGGCGACGAAACTCAATCTGTTGTCTGGAACATTATCTTCTTTACTGTCGGTCAATACTGCTATGTGCGATTTAGTTTCGAACGCGCTTCAGATATAGTTCGACGAACTTCGAAAAAAGCTCATGCAATGTGCGTTGTATTTGTTATGGCTCTTCCTGTGCTGCAGTTGGCCCAGATTGTCTCACAAACAATGCGAACTGCATTGCCTTATCTGGGTCCGAGCTTCATTAACACTTTCACGCAGTTGTTTTTTATTTCTACATTGGTGATTGGTTTCTTTTGTGTCGTGTTTGACTCTGTGTTGTTGTATTGCTTCGTTCTGTTTCTGAGATACCAAGATGGAATCGTGAATCCAAAACTAAACATAATAGCGCATTATGGCATTGCCGCTTGTTGCATGGCGTTCTTGGTTATGGTCATCTTTATAGGCGCAGGGTTGGCTGAACGAAAAGTATCCTTTCTTTTGGATAGCCTCATCTGTTTAGGAACGAGTATCTTGATCTGTATATTGGGAATCATGAAATATAAGCTTTTCAATACGCGAGTCGCATCTACAATAATTATGAGTGCAGAGGAGGGTGACTCTATGAAGGAAACAAATTCAACAAAACGTAATAAGCCACCGCTTTCACGCCCTAATTCTACCTGCCAATAAATGACTTTCCAAGATCTTTGTGGTGTCCAACAATCCGACTGTCACGTTGTCCTTGAGCACCTTTAGCCAACTGACAACGATTGCCACAAAGAGAATTTTAATTGCGTTTCTTAATGCTTATATTTAATGAGCCAATTATTGATTTGGATAAAGTGGCAGTGTGGGAGATCGGACCTGTTTCAGAACTTTCGCCTGTTCCCAAAAACAATGTCACTTGGGGCTGCCCAGTATGGCCCAAAGTTCTTCGGCTTCAATACGCCGAATCTTCATCTCATTGAGGATGCCGTCCCATGGGTCACTCCAACGTCGTTCGAAGTGAACGATGGCCTCATTTCAGTCCTTCAAGCTGGATCCTCTGTCACCCGAATCTATACCCTTGCCATAGGACCTTCAAGAGACACTGTCCACATTACCAACAATCCGGCGAATTCAGCCTTCAGCTGGAAACCAATCGCTGGAACCAGCAATCCAACCCTCTTTGCAAACGAAGAGCTATTTGTGGCTTTGGACAACGTCCTCGCAGCGGCTGGGAACTTGGGTGTTCAGATCATTGTTCCCCTGATTGACCAGTGGGATTGGTGAGTAGCGACTTGCTATGCGTCGGTGGAAGTAACCTGTCATCACTAGGTGGGGAGGAGTGCCTGCATTTGCATCTATGCACCAAGTAACAACCGATGAGTTTTATACCGACTCTCACACGTCTGCAAACTTTTTCGCCGTTGTGGAGTACGTTGCCAAGAGAAACAACACTGTATCAGGCATTCAGTATCGCAACGATTCTGCTATATTTGCGTGGGAAACCGGGAACGAGCTGTCTATGGGTGGAGGCCGTGTTCCAGCTCAATGGACGACGTCGTTGACGAAACTCCTCAAAAACGTACTCAATGTCAAGCAATATGTTATCGATGGGTCGTATTCTTTGTATGGATGGGACACTGAAGTTCTAAATGAGCCTAGTATTGATGGATTTACCGGACACTATTATCAACTGCCGGCAAAGTTCTTGATTGCGTCAAGTATTTCTAACTCTGTTTCCCCTGCTGGGACTATCATTTTCTTCATTCTGAGTGCACTGTGCTTTATCCTGTCCATCGTCTTTTGCATCAAGCCCTCGCTGTTTCGTATTAAATCTGATGGGAAGAATTTATGTGCGCTCTTGGGGTCTGTTAAAGGTCCAAGCAATCAGGTAAAAACGATAGTCTTGGCTGTGACTCTCTTTGACTATAATATAGGGCAAATTCGATATGGCTTTGGTTTCTGCTAAAAAACGTGCAATTGCCATTTGTTCGCTGCTCGTCTTTGGTTTCATTGCGTTCTTTGCTCTAGCATCCGTTTTCATCTGGCTTGGCCTCTTTCGAGTCAAATACGCCGATCGATTCAATGTGGACCACGACCTCATTGTCAAGCAATACAAAAAGCTATTCTATGTGGGAGAATTCGGACTTTCTTCTCTCAGCGATTACCAAAACCTACTGGCAGCTGTCAACGCATCTCAAGCGCTTGGGGCGCTTGTTTGGAGTTTGCGATTCCACAGCCGAAATGGTGGGTTCTGGAACCACGATGAAGGCGGGGGTGTACAATCATTTCATCTCCCGGGATTTGCTGTCAATAGAACTACTGCTGTTGGCATCGCGTCAACTGGTTTTGGTGATGACGAACTTGCGGTCGTCGACTTGATGAAGTCATATGCAGCAGGAAATGGTGCATCAAAGAGCTCTCAGTACTACCAAAAGCCGCCAGTGGGCGATCCCATTCTGTTTCCACCAAATGTGACAAAATCCATCATAAATGGAGAAGCTGTGGCTTTCGTGAGCTTAACATGGAGAGGAAGTACTGGAGCTCGGAGTTATATTATAGAGCGCGCTGTCAGCGATCCATCTATAATCGAAATTCCAAGTAATGAGACTAACTTTGTGGCGGTATATAGTGGAGTCGTAGATGCCGTTGCTAGTGGGCAAACCATGTTGGTTGATCAAGTTAGAGCAGTCCCTTTCAGTTATCGTGTCCGCGGGCTGAATGAGTATGGCTATGGACCTTATAGTAGTGTAGTAACAGCGTTTTGATGATCTATTCCTTCAAAAAAATACAATATTAAATTTTTAGAAAATGTGGCAGAACTTGGAGATCGAGAGATCGGACATGCCTTTGGCTTAAACGGGACGCAGAACACCATTCACAAATTTCTCACCAAATGTCTCAGAGCAATCCTCTATCAGCACCAAAGTTCTTTGGCTTTAACACGCCAAATCTGCACCTCATTGAAGACGCCGTGCCTTGGGCCATACCAACTCAGTTCGAGGTCAACGACGCCCTTATATCACTGCTTCAGGCGGGTTGCCCAATTACACGAATCTACCCCTTGGCAATTGGTTTTGGTATGGCCCACATCACAAGTAGTCCTTATTCAGAAGGAAATTGGACGCGGATCCCAGGAACTGGGAACCCCAATCTCTATGCCAATGATGAATTGTTCAAGGCACTGGATCAGGCCATATCGTCCGCAGGCGACTTGGGCGTCAAAATCATATTTCCTTTCATTGATCAAGCAGATTGGTAACGTTCTGTGTATTGATAAGCATAGAGATGCTAACAAGAGTGATATCAGGTGGGGTGGTGTTCCAGTGTTCGCAGAAATGCATTACCTCACGGCTGACCGTTTCTACACCGATCCAACTGTGATCTCTAATTTTATGGCCGTTGTTCGATACGTTGTCACCAGAAACAACACGGTTTCGGGCATTCAATATCGTAATGACCCAGCCATATATGCCTGGGAAACTGGGAATGAATTGGCTTTCAAGTCATCTTCAGACAACAAAGTTCCTTCGGTCTGGACCCTCGGATTGGCCAAGCTTTTGAAACATGGGTTGAATGTGAAACAGTATGTGATTGATGGATCTGATTCCAAGTATGGATGGAACGCGGACGTGATTCGTGATCCTTTGATTGATGGGTTCACTGGACATTACTACCAACTCTCAGATGAGCAACTTGCTTCTTTGGGCACATGGAAATCTATTTCTCTGGCCGGATCCATCGCTTGTTTAGTTTTGGGTGTCTCCTTCTTCGTTGCGATGGTGCTCTCTATTTTCAAGCCATCTTGGTTTGGGATCAAGACTGAGAAAAAGACGTTATTCTCTTATGTTGCTTCCTACTCAAAGGGTGGGAAGCGAGAGGTATCCAGAAAGTTGTGGGCCATAGCAACTTTTTCATTGCTTTTAGTTTTCACAATCGCCACGTTCTCAGCAGCTGCTGCATTACATTTTGGCACGACTCTTGGTCCAGGAAGTTACGCTTCTCAATTTATTGCTGACCACGATCTCATTGTCACTCAAAACAAGAAACTATTTTATGTTGGCGAGTTTGGACTCTCACCTCTGAAAGATCTTCAAGAACTTTTAGTTGCAGTCAATTCTTCCCAAGCTCTTGGAGCTCTGCTTTGGAGTTTCCGGTTTCATAGTCGAAATGGTGGATTCTGGAATCACATTGAAGAAGGTGATTCACAGTCTTACCACCTTCCAGGTTTTGATGTAAACAAAACAATACCTGGCGAATTCATGAAAACTGGTTTTGGAAATGATGAGCGAGCAGTTGTTGACCTCATAAAGAATTATGCGGATAATAATGGAGCTCCGAAGGACATGCGGTATTATCAAAAACCGCCCGTGGGTGAACCTGTTTTATTCCC